GAGGGAGAGAGAGAGAATCCTAAGCAGGCCCCGTGCTGTCAGCACAGGGCCTGACGCGGGGCTCAAACCCACAAGACCGTGAGATCATGACCTGAGCCGAAACCAAGAGTCGGATGCTTAACTGACTGAGCCACCCAGGTGTCCCTGTTCTCTGTCTCGAAGAGCCTTTTATGGTTTGCCTCCCTCCCTGTTTGTAACTTATTTTTCCTTCCCTTCCCCTATGGTCTGCTGTTAAGTTTCTGAAATTCCACAGATGAGTGAAAACATATGTTATCTGTTTTTTCTGACTGACTTTCTTCACTCAGCATGATACCCTCCAGGTCCATCACGTTGTCGCAGATGGAAAGATTTCGTCATTTTTCATCACTGAGTAGTATTCCATTTTATATATATGCCACATCTTTACCCATTCTACAGTTGATGGACATTTGGGCTCTTTCCATAAGTTGGCTATTGTTGAAAGCGCTGCTATAAAACATTGGGGTACGTGTGCCTCTACGAATCAGCACTCCTGTATCCTCTGGATAAATTCCTAGGAGTGCAATTGCCGAGTCATAGGGTAGTTCTATTTTTAATTTTTTGAGGGACCTCCACACTGTTTTCCAGAGCGGCCGCACCAGTTTGCATTCCCACCGACAGTGCAAGAGGGTGCCCGTTTCTCCACATCCTCGCCAGCATCTATAGTCTCCTGATTTGTTCATTTTAGCCACTCTGACCCGCGTGAGGTGGTATCTCAATGTGGTTTTGATTTGTCTTTCCCTGATGAGGAGTGCCGTTGAGCATCTTTTCATGTGTCAGTTGGCCATCCGGATGTCTTCTTTGGAAAAGTGTCCATTCATGTCTTCTGCCCCTTTCTTCACTGGATTATTTGGTTTTCGGGGGTGGAGTTTGGTAAGTTCAAAGGGGAACTCACCTCTAATTTACAAAAAAAAAAAAAAAAAAAGTATTGTAATTAAAATTGATTTAAAATAGCATCCGCTATGTAATATTCTTTTTTAAAATATTCTTTATTTAAAAAAAATTTTTTTTTATGTTTATTTATTTTTGAGACACAGAGAGAGCAGGAACGGGGGAGGGTCAGAGAGAGAGGGAGACACAGAATCTGAAACAGGCTCCAGGCTCTGAGTGGTCAGCACAGAGCCCGATGCGGGGCTCAAACGCACAGACTGCGAGATCATGACCTGAGCCGAAGTTGGACGCCCAACCGACTGAGCCACCCAGGCGCCCCAATATTCTTTATTTTTGAGAGTGTGAATTGGTGGGGGAGGGAAGAGACCAAGGGGGACAGAGGCTCCAAAGCGGGCTCTGCACTGACAGCAGTGAGCCCGACGTGGGGCTCGAACTCACGAACCATAGTCGGACACTCAACTGACCGAGCCTCCCAGGTGCCCCATCTAGGTAATATTCTTGACAAAAAAGTTAAATATGAATTTCAGGGGGAACCATCAGACAAATGGAAATCACAGGCCGTCGTACAAAATAACTGGCCTGGACCCTTAAGACCATGTTAATATCAGGGAGGCAACAAAAACAAGGCGGCCAGTTGCTCCTCGTGAAAGGAAATTGAGCCTGGATGACCAAATGCAACATGTGATCCAGAATTAAATCCTCGATTTCTTGAAAAGTCCATAAAGAACATTTATGCCACGGTTGTACCATGAACCGAGCGGCTTAAACAACAGAAATGTCTTGTCTGTCCATCTGGAGTTCGCATGGCTGAGGTCAAGGTATGGGCAGGGCTGGTTCCCTCTGAGGCTGTGAGGAGAATCCGGTCCAGACCTCTCCCCGGCTGCTGGGGGTATGCTGGCAATCTTTAGGGGTCCTCGGCTTGTGGAAACATCACCCTGATCTCTGCCTGCATCATCACATGGTCCTCTCCCTGTGTGTGTGTCTGTGCCCAAGTTTCCCCTTTTTTAATTAGAAAACTTTGTATTTTAAATAAACTCTGTGTTCAACGTTGGGCTCAAATTCACGACCCCAAGATCAAGAGTTGTATACTCTAGGGGCGCCTGGGTGGCTTAGTCAGTTAAGCGTCCGACTTTGGCTCAGGTCATGATCTCACAGTCCGTGAGTTCGAGCCCCACGTCAGGCTCTGTGCTGACAGCTCGGAGCCTGGAGCCTGCTTCGGATTCTGTCTCCCTCTCTCTCTCTGTTCCTCCCCTCTCTCACACTGTCATTCTCTCTCTGTCTCTGTCTCTCTCTCAAAAGTAAAGATTAAAAAAAAAAAAAGACTTGCATACTTTACTGCCCGAGCCAGCTAGGCAGCCCCAGCTTCCCCCCTTTTATTATTCAAAAAATATGTTTTTTTAACGTTTTTTCATTTTTTGAGAGAAAGAGAGAGAGTGCGAGTGGGGGAGGAGCAGAGAGAGAGAGGGAGACACAGAATCCAAAGCAGGCTCTAGGCTCTGAGCTGTCAGCACAGAGCCTGATGTGGGGCTCGAACTCACGAGCTGCGAGGTCATGACTTGGGCCGAAGTCAGACGCCCAACCGACCGAGCCACCCAGGTGCCCCTAAGCTCCCCTCTTTTTAAAGGATACCAGTCATGTCGGATCAGTGCCCACCTTGATGAACTATTTTAACTCATTACATCTTCAATGACTGTATTTCAATGACTGACCTTTCATACATGAAGGTCATGTATGGAGGTATTTGGGGTTAGGACTTCCACATATGAATTTGGGGGGATCACAGTATATCCCATAACAGATTGTCATTAGATGGCATTGTTGTATCAATATGAAAACTCTCGAGACAATAACAGTGGCTTCTGGTGGTTCCTTATTTTTTTTAATTTTTTTTTCAACGTTTATTTATTTTTGGGACAGAGAGAGACAGAGCATGAACGGGGG